TAAAGTGAGGGGAGTGTTTAGCATAACTAAAGTGAGGGGAGTGTTTATCTCTTTCAGGGGTGTATCTGAATGCTGCTTCAACTTGCCAACCCAATGGCAAACACAAAGAAAACAGAGCAGTCATGATGGAGAGTGGATAAGGAAAGGTGTGTAATGGGCGGAGAAAGGGGGTAGGGAGCTGCATCTGAAATCATGCCCCTACCTCAGAAATGATCCATATGGGAAGCTGTTCTAGGTTTAGCTACAGTAAATGGTTTATTCCATAATAGCTTTACATCTTATACTCCACATCACCTCCTCTCCTCTTTACCTCTCGGCTTTAACACCTAGCTCTCAACTGGATTATGTCTAGATTGATAAAAGTCTAGATAAGATACACTGGAATCTTACTATAAAATGTTCCATGAACAAAAGAATAAAATGCAATAGAATCTGGGGCTCTGAACAAGGAAATAACCACTGGCAATGCCACTGTACATCTCAGAGTCTACGAAATGCAATTTAGGCAACACAGTCTTTGTTTTTCCCCTTTAAGAAAAATGTTTATCAGAAAAAAACAAGTTCTTGAGTACTGCAGTTTTAATTTGGTAAAGATGGTTATTTTCTCTCATAATTTAGTGTTTCTCTAACTGGTAAATGCTTTTACAGATGCATTTGCTAAACTTACAATAAAAAAATTTCAATAATGTGAATGAGACTATGAAATTGAGAGTTATCATTCATTAATATGTGGAATCCCTCCCCTTTTTGTACTTACTTAAAAACTTTAATATAGTCAGCAAGTTCAGGAATAGAAGTGATGTCACCCTAGGGAAAGAATTAAATCATTTTCTCCTGATTTTTCTTGAAATTTGAAACTCTAATGTTTAGTATCTGATATCAAGTATCAGCTTATTCGATAAGCAAAATTACATAAAATACAGATTATGAAGGTTTTAAATGTATAATCGTATGGTCATAAGTTACAAAGTCATTTTCAAATGGCATAAAAAGCTAATAAAAGATGCTATCAAAATGGCAATTCATATAACCTTTAAGAACATATTATTGATTCTAATTCACCTACAACTGTTTATATCTGGGCATATGAAAATTCTGCAAAATCATAACAGCCCTGAAAGTGCTTCTTCTGTAATAACTAATTCCTAAGCTTTAAAACCAAACTTAGTATTTAAAATTTTTCCTGAGATCTATTCTCTTCTTTTTGTAATATTTCAAATGTGCAGCTCACTAAATGGATTTTGCTGTGACTTGAGACTACCTTTCACTCTGCAGAACTGTTTTCCCACTGCTTGTGAGAGAATGGGCACATATCACAAGATCTATCTTTACTGTATTTGAAGCACTGGAGACTAGAACAATACTAATTTCTGAAAAGTCAACACCTGTATTCTCTAAAACATGAAATATTTCTCCATAGCCACCCAATATTTATGAAAACCTAAATCCACAAAAAGATAAGCATCAATTCAATCTAATACTAGTAGGGATTAGATTCACCCTACCAAAATTGTTGATGTTTTCCCCCCTTCCAAAGTGATCTCCAGGTCTGAAAGGGCAGCATCAACTTCATCCACTTCTTTGTCACTGTTGTTCAAATGATTCTCTGATGTCATGATTGACAACTTATTGATGTGATACTGAAAACAGAAATATTTTCTTTAAATGACTGTTCTAACTTTAAAACTTTAAAATGAGATTACTGCATCTATACTGAATGCTTTTCATCACCTAACTTGAGAAGATGAAGCTAAGAACTAGAATGACAGGAAAGTAAACGGCACCTGAAATCAGTGTCCTAAATATCCTAATATTTATCCAAAAGAAGCAGGTTTTTGGACATATAAAAATGAATTTAGTTTGGGAAGCCCTAGAATTCAGAGTTAACATGTCCTCCACTAAGCTCCACATGAGATTTTTTTTTTTACTGGTTTTCTGCCCCACCCCCTCCACCGCCGCCACTGCAGTATTCCCTGTGTCTAGAACAGATCCTGAAACCAATGAATACTGAATGAATTAACAGAATATGCATAAGGTCTTTTGTAAAAATGGATTAACATTGATTACCTTATATTACTGCTATTACCCAGCAGAGGAAAATTTGTCAGTTATAAGTATAAGGCCGAAAGCTAAAGCTCCACTCTCCACCACCCACCCCCCGCCCCACCTCAATTCAATGCTGAAAACATAATCAGAGGAAGATGTTTATATTCTCAGTTACATAAGAATGATAAGATTGATTACATTTATTGTGAATATATACAATCATATATGTGTGTGTGTGTGTGTGTGTGTGTGTGTGTACACGTTGAGTAGTTAGAACAAATACTAACAATCTATTAGATTTTGATGCTAAACCTTACAGAGGTTTCATACAAAGGTAAGCAGAACTTTTAAAATCACTTCATCAGTTACCTTTCAAAGCATTAAACAGTACTCCAAATTTCTCAAGTATCCAATACAGCCTATTCATGGGGAACACTGAACTAATCTGAGGCCAACTGTCAGTGTTCCTATATTTTAAGATTTAGTGAACTGGTAATAAACAGTCTCTCGCTGTACCTTCAGTTATGCTAAAATGAGATTCTTAGTGATAGAAACTTCCATGTTCACAAATCATGGACAATGAGATAGGCTGAGGCCCTTAGTCGCCTCAAATGTTAGAGTAACGTTAAGAATCATGAAGAGAGTTGGTTAAAAATACAGATTCTTAGGTTCATCCCCAGAGATTTTGATTCAGCGAATCTGGTGTCCAGCCCAGAATCTGCATTTTTATTAAGTGAGTCAGGTGATTGTGATGCAAAAAGTCCTTAGAAGTTATCTCGGAAAAACTCTGGCTAAGAATGGGACTGGTCTTAAAATCCAGCTTTGCTTTCAGAGGGTGCATGGGATATCTATTAAGTGTTACAATACAGACTTGGATGTAATTGCTTTAAAAACAGTGTTATTATCTTTTTATTTTTTATCCTCACCTTAATTGTTTCTTTTTACTACTGTAGATTTATGTTACAAAAGGAAACAGAAGCCCCAAGGAGAAAATAATTCAGTGTAGGCTATGCTGGAGATAAAAATACCAGGCATTTCCTTGCCATCTTTTCAAACTTTCCCCCTTATGGTACTGGATGGGTTCTAGAGCCTTTGGGTCAGTCTCTGGGAAGGCTTCTAAAAACTCAGGAGATTTTTAGTTCAGAATTCTCTCATTAATCTGGATTCTAAAATGGTTCAGGAGAGCTATGTTTTGGGACATTCAGTTTCCAGACATTAAAATTCATGGTTTCTGATGCATTTTCTACTGCTCTAAAATGGAGTATCTATAATACACGGGGTGGGGGAAAGCTACAAAATAATCCCATTTCTGTGAAAATACAACTGTGTGTACATTTGGCCCTTGGACAACATGGGGGCTAGGGGCGCTAACTCTCCCAAAACTTTACTCATAGCCTGCTCTTGACTAGAAACCTTACTAATAACATAAACAGTCAATTAACAGATATTTTGTATGTGTGTTACATACTCATTCTGACAATAAAACTAGAGAAAAGAAAATGTTAGGAAAATCATAAAGAAAATACATTTAATGTACTATATTTATTGGAGAAAGCCTGCATTATTTAAGTGGACCCAACCCCTTGTTGTTAGAGGGTCAACTATATTCTCATTCAACAAATTTTTCTGGGCGCCTGGGTGGCTCAGTCATTAAGCATCTGTCTTCAGCTCAAGTCATGATCCCAGGGTGCTGGGATCGAGTCCCACATCGGGCTCCCTGCGCAGCGGGAAGCCTGCTTCTCCCTCTCCCACGCTCCCTGCTGGTGTTCCCTCTCTCGCTGTCTCTCTCTCTGTTAAAAAATAAATAAAAAATCTTTAAAAAAATTTTTTTTTTCTGAGCACCTATGTGCCAGGCACATTTGTATCTGTTGGGCTTTTTTTAAGTGCATTATTTTTATAATAAAAGATTAAAAAAATACTATATAATAAAAATCTGTGAGGTTTCCCTCAAATATATTTTATATGTATTATTATTCTGTCATTGGCAAAACCTTCACTACAAAATTATAAACCCATATTCTAAGAAAGAAAGATACAGGTAGAAAGCCATAAACCAAGTGAGGTACTCTGAATAAAATTACTCCAGAATTTAATTCAAGAAATTCTTCAGATGGTCTGAATTATCCAGAAACACAATAGAAGACTCTTAACTAGTTGATTAAGCAAGTCTCTAAACTAGCTCATCTGTCATCAAAGATTTTCCTTGTCTAAGCTTTGTTTCGATCCCTTTCTTTCATCATGTAAACTGAGAAGAAATGAGCTTTTCTTCCATTACAAAGGACAATTTTTTGAGTCTTAACCAGAAAACGTTCCTGGATGTATAAAAGCATTTAGAAGATTGAGAGCATTTTTATTTTGTTCTAAAGAGAAGTAAAATCATTTTTACAGTGAAAGCTTTTTTTTTTCCTTTTTTCTTCTTTAAAAGATTGTATTTATTTGAGAGACAGAGCACAAGTGGGGGAATGGAGGGGCAGAGGGAGAAGCAGGCTCCCTGTCTCCCCACTGAGCAGGGAGCCCAGTGAGGCCCAATCCCAGGACCTGGAGATCGTGATCTGAGCCAAAGGCAGCTGTTTAACCGGCTGAGCCACAGCAGCGAAAGCTTTTCACAACTAAACGTCAACTCTGCTTCCTGTACTTAAAGCTCATATGCAAGAACCACTTTTGGGATAACACTGGTTTAATCTCAGGAAAACATTAGCTACCTACTTCTTAAGGATTATCATTCTAAAAACTTATTTGTTTAGTTTCATTAAACTATTAAAATTTTTTCACCTTTAAAACATATTTTTGCTATAGCCATTTATAAAATATTATCACCCAGCTACTTAGGAAATTATGCAATTAATAAGCTTCATTTTAGAAGCTTATGATATGCAATACATATATTATTTCTAAGGGAAAATTGGGTAGTTTTAAGCTAATATATATTTGGGGGTGGGAGGATATTTTTCTCCTATAGGATACCGAAAAATATTAAGTATACCACTAAACTCTTAGATAAGACAAAAAATTAAATTCATGTACTTATTTTGTCTTCTAAGTGTATTCAATTTCTACAAAGCAAAAAGTAAACACTATCAAAACACTATTACAGTTTTCTAATTCACTATTTAAAAATAATCCGCTATGCTTTTCCCATGAAAAGTCCCATTTACCAATACAATACTCTTTACTACCTGCAAGGCTGCAAACATCATCATTTCTTCTTCTGTGCACTCAATTTCTTCTAGGAGAATAGCCCATTTGGCCTGTTCATAAAGCTGATTGATTCTGATTGCATCATACTGCAGCAAAAGAGACACAATCCTTTTGTAATATATTACTTTTAACATAAAAAAGTTTGAAAACTGAATATTCACTTTCAAAGCTTGACAAAAAAGTTTCAAAATACATTTTTTTCCCTGGGATTTTTATTCAGTATCAAATACTCAATAATAAAGATACCTATAGGGTTAGGTATATGTATATATACCCACCTCTAATTTTTGCATTAAAAATGACATTAAAAAAACCAAAATATTATTATTCAGTATTAGAAGTAAGATTCTGTATGCTATTTTACAGGGAAATAATCATTAGATATTACAGAGCTCTTAACAAAATGAACTTAACTTGAAAGATGACATTTAAAATAAGGTGAAAGTGACTGCTTTTCAGTATTGTTATTGCAACCTGTCACACTAAAATGTTACAATCAGAGAGTAAATTATTTCAGGGAACATCTTGCCCACTATGGAAAAGCATACTTAAACAAGTGTCAGGTCCCTGGAAACAGTAATTATTTTAAGAATCTGAAATAGAGAGTACATATATATACTTGTAGTAAAGATTTACTTATACGTTACTGAATTGTCCATTTAGTTATGTTAATAAAAATTAACAGTAATGTCTTAACAATACTATTTTAGAATGTTAACAAAACACATAGCAACTCCCCTTCCCCAGCAAATGTAACTATGTTCCCAAAACAGATTTGGTTTTACCTAAAATGAGACACGATGTGGCCTGAAAGGGGTTAAGATTTTTTGGGGGGTAGTTCTAAATTATACATTTTACTGTTACAAAAAGAATTACTTAAGCACATAATAAAAAATGGTAAGTATATACATTAAAATCTACACTATAATCTAGACATGAAAAGGATGAGAAATAGTCAAGAGAGGTTTTCCCCCCAAGGATGATAAATAAGGAAGCAAAAGATCCAAATCTCTGTGCCATGTGTTTTCTAGGGAAAAATACTCTAGATTTCATAGCAAATTTAATTCTTCTCAGAAAAGCAAAGTATTTCAGTAGCACAGATGATGTAGTCATTTGATAGTAAAAACATTACAATATTTGCCTATTAAATAGGAAGAAATGTAGACTTAAAGAATTTTTCTTTGAAGCAACATCTTTTGCCTTATAATTAGAAATCTGAAAGTCACTGAAAAGGTACTATTTCATAAAACTCTTCTTTTACCAAAAATACAGCTAAAGAGAGGTGTAAAAAAAAATCCCTAAAACTAACTTTACCAATTCTATAGTACAAAGCTAGTGCATTTAAAATACAAATCAATCAAAAATTCAATTATTTTAACAAAAAAGAAAAAGGCTGAATTATGCTTCCAACCTGCTAACACAATAGACTTATTTCAAATACAGATCCTTTTGTCTAAAGCTTGGGTTTTTAATATTATTCAGACTTGCTATATACAAATGATTCCTTAACCCACCAACTCCAAAAAAACAAACGTCCAAATGAAAAAAACAAAAAGGAAAAAAAGAAGAGATCCCTCTAAACCCTCGGTACCTTTGGATTCAAATCAAAAAAGCTGTAATACTTGAATCGAAGAAGCAAGGCCTCATTTTCCTTCACATCTTGTTCCATGAGAGATCGTGAGGAATCAAGCCACCTGGACAAATTAACAAGAGCAGTGGAACAATGCAAGACAAAATTAATAAAATGTTTCTACCTCTAGCTGGAGAAATTCTTCAATGTATCTATATTTTATTTTTTTTAAAGACTTATTTATTTATTTGAGAGAGAGCATGTACACAAGCAGGGGGAGGGGCAGAGGACAAGGGAGAGAGACTCTCAAGCAGAATCTGCACTGAGCACGGAGCCCAATGTGGGACTCGATTCCATGACCCAAGAGATCCTGACCCAAGCCATAATCACAAGTTGGATGCTTAACCAACTGAACCACACCCAGGTACCCCTCAACATACCTCTATTTTATAACTTACCCTTGGTTGATTTTTGCTTTGTCAAGAAGAGCCTGAGGCTTGAACATTTTCGCCAAAATTTCTGGTGATGTGATTGGCTGACTGACAGCAAGTATACCAGGGTTGCCTTCTGACAAAGCACTGTCACCGAACCAAGCAGAAGTCGGTGACAAGGGGCTTCCATCATGAGCATCGTAAGTGGGGGTCATTGTTTTACTATAAAGTCCTGGGCTTGAATATATACTTCCTAATAAATGACATGAAAAATAGGTAGTAAATATGAATTAAGTACAGAATCTTAGTTTTCAATAATACATGCTATATAAAGGAAACTGTGAAACAAAGCTTTGTTCTGGAAGGAAAGCTTAGTACATTATTTTACCTGTCTTGAAAACATGTAACATTAACTCTACTTGTGTAACATAAGAACATATAATAACAAGGTCAAAAAATATAAGTTGGCAGAAATATGGGGGAAAAAATCAGTTCAAGGGAATTAGAAAAGTTAAGGATATAGCTGAAGCAGACAGACCAAGTTTTTTTTGTTTTGTTTTTTTTAAAGATTTTATTTATTTGACAGAGAGAGACACAGTGGGAGAGGGAACACAAGCAGGGGCAGTGGGAGAGGGAGAAGCAGGCTTCCCGCCGAGCAGGGAGCCCGATGTGGGGCTCGATCCCAGGACCCTGGGATCATGACCTGAGCTGAAGGCAGACGCTTAAGACTGAGCCACCCAGGTGCCCCCAAGTTTTTGTTTTTAATTGTGGCAAGGCTCACCTTTCAGAGGGCCAATGTAAAGAACATCAGTGCCTATAGGAAAGGAAAGAAAGGAATTCAGAAGGTAAAGGAAAGGTAACAATAGAAGACAGAAACAAAAGAATGAAAAGGAAAGGAAATGGAAAAAAGAAAAAACAGACTTTTCCTAATGTGAACCATAAACTGAAGAAAATATTTCAAGTGAATTTAAGAGTAAAGAATCTTAGAAACTGTAACCTAAATTTTTTTTGTCCAATTCAAAAGAATAAAGTGCTCTAGTCAAATGTCCAGTGACAAACATATCCACATTTATCACCCTTTGAAATCCATACCTTATTTTAAGATAGCTCAATGTAACTGAATAAATGCACATAAATTAAGAGAATAATTTTATGTTAATGTTTTCTCAGTGAATAGGTAAACTGGTTCCAACAGATTTACAAATAAAGTATTAAATGGGTAGATAACATTTTGCTAACAAAGATATATCTTATAATTAAGTCCCTAAAGGCAGGGATATTTTATTTTCCAATTCCCCAGTGTTCCATAGGGCTAACCATATAGTAGAGGCTATCTAAATAAAAACTTGTTGACTTAGTCAACTGACAATATATCCTCCATCATTTAAACTATAAAAATCAAGGAGACTGGATTAAATTAAGACTTAAAAGTTCAGAATAATGTTAAGTAAAAGCACCTCCCCTAGAAGTCCTAACTGTTAATTATATATTGTCTTCGTAATTTTTAAAAAGAAAATGTGTAAATGGGTATCACACTGTTAATGGATTATGGAAAGAGAATGGCTGTTTCCCTTACCTAATACAGGAATATACTTAGCAATTTCCTTTCCACTCTAACAACCCCTCCCCACCACCTCACTCAATGCAATGATAGAAACAATTACCTATGAAAAGTGGTGATCATGCTAGAGATTTTTGTAGTTGTCATGATCTAGTCTAGGAAGAGAACACAAAGAAAAAAAAAATCTTGCTAGCCACAGAGTATCTGATTTGATGTCCCTAGTATGTATTCTTCCAATGTTAATAATTAAAACAATTTGCAGTATCTAAACACTAAACATTGTTAAATAAGCAACAAAGAAAGCGGTCAATTCTCCTTTCTTAGCTTTAAAGAACACTGGGATAGTCAGTGATATCCTTAAATGGTAGAACTTTAAAATTATTAAGGGCATTTTGTGAAAGGGTTACTTGGGCACCCCATACTAATTAAAAGGGCTAAAAACATTATTGCAGCTCAGGCGGGCAAAGAATAATCCTGCTATATATGTAAAGAAGGGATAGAAAAACATTATCTTCTAGGCAAAATCTTCTCATTGTGTATTTCAAAGATCTAGCAAATAAATCTTTTACTAGGAATGTCAGAATATTGAAAATTCATTCCTAGTATGATGGACTATAATTACTATTTAGAATTAAACAGAGTTAGAATTGGCAATTTTCTTTTTTTTTTTTTTAAGACTTTATTTATTTATTTGAGAGAGAGAGAATGAGAGATAGAGAGCACGAGAGGGAAGAGGGTCAGAGGGAGAAGCAGACTCCCTGCTGAGCAGGGAGTCCGATGCGGGACTTGATCCTGGGAGTCCAGGATCATGACCTGAGCCAAAGGCAGTTGCCCAACCAACTGAGCCACCCAGGCGCCCAGAATTGGCAATTTTCTTTATGAGGTTTCTAAAACAAAATATACTCCCCTACAATACACAACATTTAATAAAATCAGCCCTCTCAAATTCCTCTACTTTGTATATTTTTTTTAATTCTTTATTTTTTTTTAAGATTTTATTTATTTGACAGAGAGAGACACAGCGAGAGAGGGAACACAAGCAGGGGGAGTGGGAGAGGGAGAAGCAGGCTTCCCGCCGAGCAGGGAGCCCGATGCGGGGCTCAATCCCAGAACCCTGGGATCATGACCTGAGCCGAAGGCAGACGCTTAACGACTGAGCCACCCAGGCGCCCCTCTACGCTTCATTTTTGATCACTTCATTGTTTCTATTCTTATTTTGTTAGGCACTCCACGGTAATAACTTAATTAGTGTTTCCAACAATCCTATTATTCTCATCTTAGAGGAGCAAACTGAAGGACAGAGAGGTTAAGTAAGTTGTCCAGTGTCAAAAGCTATTACGTTTCAGAGCCAAGCTATAAATCAGTGAGTCTAACTGAAGCTATACACACCACCTCCTGGGTACCATAACTTATTTAAGCCATTCCCAATTGGTGTGCATTTATTTGTTTAGAATTTTGTTGACTTCACTCTACTGCTGCTGCAAACATACCTTCCAACAAATGCCTTCCAAAAGGTATGTTTGTACTTATTTCCCAATTCTAGCAACATTGCTGGGACAGAGGGTATGTGCATTTTACATTCCTTCTAAGTCTCAGTTCAGTGACAATCCCAATTACCTTATATTCCTGATTGCCCAATTTAAAACATATTTGAAGTATAAAGTTATTATAGGGTAAGATGAAGTAACATATTTAGTCAACAACAGAACAGAAGCTTGCTCAACTATACAGAACAGTAACAAAAATTATAAGGAGGAGAGAAAAATTCAACAAGCACTACAGTCTTGGGCCACCTACTACAAATATTAAAAACCTCATGTAACTTTAGAATCTGCCTGATAACTTGGTTACTATAAATTACATTCTTACATATTCCTTTTTAAAAGAGTGATAAAGTATTTAATCCATTTTAGAAAATTTCCCACCAAAATGTCAATCTCATACCATACTTAGTAAACAAATTTCAGGTGAATTAAAAATAACAAATGTTGATATTACAAATGAGTTAAAATATATAAATATGAAATAATTATATAAAAGTAGAAAAGGAAATATAGAAGAACTTTTCTAGTATTTGTGAAGATTTTCTTTACCAAGAATGAAAGCCCAGAACGATAAAGTAAATAACAAATTTGACTACATAAAAATGTAAAACTTTAGTACAGTAAAAAAGAAAAAAATTAAAAACAAAATGCCAATACAGGGAAAATATCTAACTTATCAGAATATTAGGTTATCACTAAAACACTGGAACTTTTTATTTTTTTAAAGATTTATTTACCTGACAGAGAGAGACAGCGAGGGCAGGAACACAAGCAGGGGGAGTGGGAGAGGGAGAAGCAGGCTTCCCACTGAGCAGGAAGTGAGCAGGGAGCCTGATGTGGGGCTCCATCCCAGGACCCTGGGATCATGACCAGAGCCGAAGGCAGAGGCTTAACAACTGAGCTACCCAGGCGCCCCACGCTGAAACTTTTTAAAAGCTTAATTCACAAACTCAATTCCCCAACCTATAAATATACCGTTTGGAATGGTTTTGTCTTCCAAATTCCTGGAACACTACTTTCTACAACTTTCATTTAACATTTATATATTACCTCCTTAAATACAGTAACTGTTTTTCAGTTAGCCTTAAAAGCTTTTTTTTTTTTTAAGATTTATTTATTTTTTGACAGAGATAGTGAGAGAGGGAACACAAGCAGGAGGAGTGGGAGAGGGAGAAGCGGGAGAAGCAGGGGGAGTGGGAGAGGG